TTTTTTTTTTTGCTTTGAAAGGTTCATTAAGGGATAATAATGCAACATCACAGCAGAGATATCGTGAAGGATGTATCAGATGCTCTGCAGCTAGAGCAGGAGCTTCAGCTCTCACAGGCCCAGCATGGAGTCGCTGTTCTCGATATATACAGTTCTGAATGGGGCAGTACAAAGGCATTGTCAGAGACTTTCAGGCGTCTCTACACAGATGCCGGGGATCAAATGCATCTACGTTTCTACGCGGTTGAATGTAATTCCATTCTTGAAAGTCTCAAATACCCTGAAGAGCAGCGTAATCCCATGCGACCTAAAAATTTGGATTTGTGTCGAGAAACACTCCCTTCATTTTGGAAGGACATTTTGGACGATCGTCGTGGAAAATCAAAGTCGTATTTTGTATTTTATAAAGAAGGGAAGAAACGCACCTGGATAGAGGGTATTAACACACCAAAGATTATTAATTACGTGAGGGATTTATGTCGACCACAAAAACCTGCTAATGAATGCGCCTCTAACAAGGAATTACTGGAGTTCTGGGAACATTATTTCAGTGCAGAAGAAAGTGAGGTTTTTTTTGATTCCTTTATACGTGCAATGCTTGACTGTATTGGAGCAAAACGTTCATTAACCAATAGGGAAGAAAAAGCTCTCGCAGAGGCCATTGGTGTCCAAGATTATAAGGTTACTGTTGGGGAACTTGAAAAATGGATTGGTGGGGAACGAACGATTCAGACAGCCTTCTGCGATCTTTTCCCTGCTTTCAGAGACAGAATAACATCTGTATCGGCAAGTGCAGTTGATGGTAGTGCTGCGGATATCAAACCAAATGGAGTTAACGCAAGTACCGACGAAGTGGCCATGTCGCAGTCGTGGAATGAAGCCGAGAAATTGAAAACTCCCAAACATACAGATGATGATTGGAGACCACAATTATGGCACACAGTTGCAGCCATGCCATTGCGTTGTCCAGGGGACAGACGGTTTGTTCTCCTCTCCTCTGGGGAAGGAGAAGAGAAAGCGAAAGAAGATTTGCAGCGCGTTATTGATGTTCCGACCCTAAACAGTTATTTGACAGAATGGGGTGTTTCTGCTGATGATATCCAGGTGATGTGTCATTCTGCCGCGAGAAAATTCCCATTTGACTGCTTATCATACGGTAAACTAGCCTTGACGCTGATGCTGTGTGATAGCGATGGAAGCAATGTCCTTGTTGGTCGTCCGGAAAGTTTTGTTGAACAGCTTTCAGATGGCTCATTACTGGAGAGTCACACGCCAATCGCCTTTACAGTTATTTGTACATGTGCATCAGAAACCCACGATGATGATATTTTCTATTACTATGGTGAGAAAAATACAGTGGAGTTTGGAGAATCTTGTGAAGAGGGTGGTCAGGTTATTTTGGCTCCATTAACACGTTTACAGACAAGTAGCAACGATGAAAACCCCTTTAATGTAAGAATTATCGGAATGCCTAAAGTGATTAGACTCCCAGAAACAGTTTCTGAAAATGAAACTACTGTTCTTATTCCATGGTACACTAAATTTGTTGTTAAGGAAAAATTGGAGACTGGTATTACATTAACATTTTTGGAAACTGTTGATAGTGTCCAATATCGGCACTCTGTTAATTCGTACACGGAACGTCTCCTTGAGGATGAGGATAAACTGGCCAAATCAGCAGACGTGGCCTCTATCTTTGAACGTTATATGGGGTCAAAACATGAATTGGAGGGATCGTTAATCAAGAATCCCAGCTCGTTGGGTAACGGCGTTCCTGATGTCGCTGGAGAAGAAGCACACTCACCTGCCACTGAAGAACTACAGCCCCCTGATGATGCTGAGAATAAACCTGCCGCTGCTGAAGAAGTACAAACCCCTATTGCTGAAGAACAACCTGCCGCAGAAGAGGCGGAAGGAAAAGAGCTTTCAACTCCTCCCGCTGAAGAAGAACTACAGACCCCTGATGATGTTGAGAATAAACCTGCTGCTGAAGAAGAAGAAGTACAAACCCCTATTGCTGAAGAACAACCTGCCGCAGAAGAGGCGGAAGGAAAAGAGCTTTCAACTCCTCCCGCTGAAGAAGAACTACAGACCCCTGGTGATGTTGAGAATAAACCTGCTGCTGAAGAAGAAGAAGTACAAGCCCCTATTGCTGAAGAACAACCTGCCGCAGAAGAGACGGAAGGAAAAGAGCTTTCAACTCCTCCCGCTGAGAATGAGGAGCTTTAAAAGTTCAGTCTGGTAAAGGGGTGGGAGGGGGGATAAGTGCTTCAACTGTAAGCTTAGAGGGACCGATTTGTTTTTTTGTTTGTTTTTGTTTTTGGAGAACGAATAGATATTATGTACTATGATGTAAATACGAAAAATATATATATGAATGTGAAAAGAAAGCATGACGTTTTGTTTTAAATGGATTTTTGAGGTAGTACGAAGGGTTTCTTAATTTTTTTTTTTTTGTTAATGGCTTCCTGTTGTTTTTTTTTTTCTTTGTTTTCAAGATGATGCGTGCTTTTTTCTTGGGTAGTCAAGGTTATCACGAGGTTCTTCGCTTGCAAGAAGCCATATTCAAAGCGAAAATTGATAGGCAAGTCCGTCGGTTCCGAGGAGAACCAGGCGTGACTCTGATTCCAGACACTGTGCTTCTCGTAGAGCATTCATCACCAGTCTACACCGTTGGTAGACGAGACACAACAGAGGGGATTCCAAAGGATTGTAAGGTGGAAGTGGTCAAAACAAGGAGAGGTGGGGGCGTAACTTTTCATGGGCCTGGGCAGATAACAATGTACCCAATAGCGAACATCCAACAACTTTGGAAGAAATGTGTATCATCTGATAAACCGCGTTCTCCTATTGAATGGTTTAGCTTTGTTTTGGAACAGGCTATGATCGACACAGCAAAGGATTATAACATACCAACGCATCGCAGAAAAGTTGGAGTTTGGTCAGATGAATGGGATAATATGGCTCCGCGGAAGATAGGTTCTATAGGCCTTCAACTCGGTAATTGGGTGTCTATGCATGGAGCGGGCTTTAACGTAAGCAATGACCTTTCTTACTTTAACAACATCATAATATGTGAAATGCCTGATGCCTCAGCAACATCTTTGAAAGAAGAGCTGCACCTTCGAAGAATCAATGTACCGAGCCCTAATCCAAGAATAGTATCTCCCACTCTGCTCCATCATTTCTTTACGAACCTTAGACAGGAAGAGAACATTCTGTCGACAAAACTCCTTGACGTTTCTGAGGAGAGAGATTGGCATCGTTTCATCTTAAATGAGACTGATTGATCAGTCTTACTTGTTTAAAAATGTAATGACCCACTATAGGGCCTTCTTAACAGTTATATATATATATATATATTTATATATAAATGCTTCTCGCAACGGCAGAACAAACTACTGTCAATAAAAATAAATAATAATGATAGCCATTATCATCATTACAGTGAGGGTTACTAGATGTGTTGATGTGTTGTAACTGTTTCTTATTACTTATATTTGCAGTTTTCGTGTGGTGACGTGAAGTTTGAGCGAGCTGCCCTCTGATAATCGCAGCGTAAACAGTTTCTCATTATTTCCATGTATGGGTAACCTCTTAAGAAGAAAGCACCAACTATCTTGTGTGAGGGAGACTCTTTGGTTGCTAACCTTTTATTCACGTGATGCCTTTTCTATCCCTTTTTGTTTTCTTTTTATGTTTCGCTCTTTATTGCAATAACATTACACTCTAATATGGGGTAAAAAAAAAAAGAAAAAAGAAAAAGAGTCGCTCTTGTGATTGTGGTTTACTTTGCCAACTTTCAAAAAACTATTTTCCAAAACGACTGGAACTGCTTGCGAAACCCACGATAGGGTTTGTCTTTCCTGTCCTTCCCTTTCAGGACACTGGAGAGATCGTTTTAAATTGAATGCTGTTTTTGAAGCTGATGTGATGATGTTGCTGAGAGTAATGCTGTTAATGTGTATGCCACTCTCCACGACACCCCACGTGTTGTTTTTTCTTTCTCTTTCTCTTGTTCTGCTCCCCTCTCCTCTGCTGTGCATTGGCAAAGCAAAATACACACGAGTAAGCAAGCATGAAATCTCACGTGCATCAGTTACTGTGCTCTGCACTACTGCTGTTCCTCCTCTGCTGTGCCTACGGGTGCGCTGCTGCTGCTGTTGTGAAGCCGCTGCCGGAGAAAGGACAGGGGGCCTGGGACGCGCACACCGTCGCTGTGGAGGATACGAAGAGTGAGGATGCCTGGAAATCCATTCGCATTGGTGTGTATCCAGGAGGTGTGTCCTTATGGATTAAAGCCTGTGCCAACATGCGTGTATCGCCTTTTGGTCCTGCCATATACCCGTACTGCATGGGAGAATCCCGAATAACACCAGAAAAGGTGCAATTACTTCGTCGCGTTGTTTCTGCAGCGGCCAAATTACACAGTGAACGTCTCCGCGTAAAACGTGTAAAGGGAAGGTTGTTTTTGAATAAAAACGGTGGAAAAGACTTTAAAAAGAACTGTCCATATGCCGTGGCTCATCCTGTCCTTTTCCAAAAGGGTTTCCCCTTTGTTGATTTCGCTCTGTTTGTGAGTCCTACGATGTCGCATGAAGATCCCAAGATTTGCACTAGAGGTGACGATGGTCGTCCGACATCTGCCTTGATAAAGCTGAATCCGAATGCTATTAAAAACACGAGGTTCCACATCCGTTCGGCTGCACATGATATTGGTCATGGACTGGGTTTTCTCTTGTTTATGTTCAAAAGCTATGGCTGGGTGAAGGAGAGTGAGACCTATACTGGAAGACCTGTTGTTGTCGTTCAGACGAATAAGCTGGGGGAAAAGGTGCAAGAGCATTATGGCTGTCGAACTATTAATACCTTGCAGTTGGAGTCCTACATGAGTCGAACCGCACTTGACTACACGACATACCCACACTGGAAGCGACACTACGCAAAGGATGAATTGATGGGTACATACCTTGACAGGCCCTCCGGCATGTACTACACTAACCTGACACTTGCTGTTTTTGATTCTATGCCGTTCTACGAGGCTGATTTCAGCAGAGCAGAAACGATGTCATGGGGCCGGAATGCCGGTTGTGGATTCCTTCACGGGAAGTGCATCGAAGACGATTATCCCAAATTTCCCGATATGTTCTGCAGTAAGATCAGTGATGACCTCCATTGCACCACTGACCGCACAGCTCTTGGGAAATGCTCGTTGGAAGACCTGTACTGGGATATTATTCCCAGGGAGTTCCGACACTTTACCAACGGTGACCTTGGTTCACCAAAAGAAGATGTTATGGACTATTGTCCTGTCATTGAACCCACTTTTAAAACATCCTGTGAGCTCGGTGATGAAAATGAAATGCCTGGCAGTATTTTGAGCAGTACGTCACGGTGCCTAGATGTAAATTTTGTGCGACTGCGTAACGAAGACGTTAATGATAAGGTCAAAGGGATTTGTGCAGAGGTAAAGTGTGAGAACGGCACTTTGAAGGTGCAGTATAAGGGCAACAAGAACTGGTATGAGTGCCGCGATGGGGGTTACATTGACTATTTACAGGGTTCAGTGTTTGATGATGGAAGGATCTTGTGTCCCAAGTACACAGATGTCTGCACAAAGTAAGCCAAAGCCAAGAAACCCTCATTCTGCCAGCACCGTCAAAAATCTCTCAGCTGCTGCAACACCGGTGGGGTCGACTG